TACCTGGTATACTGGCGCCAGCGCTAGGCCCCTGTTCTAAATAGTGTCGTCTTCGTTTTCACAGGGTCAGACTATCCTGTGCTACGAATTTGGGCGCAATATTTCAGCATAGAAGAGGCGCTTTGCACTTTCGCTAATTTCGGTTGATAGTTCGTGTTAAGTTGCACGTCCCACCTTGGTAACACCTGTTGACCCCTTGTCAAGTGTAAGTGAAGCTCATGCTATCGCACAGTTTTACAAGAGTTAACAGGTCTCCACAGCAAGCATCAGCAGTGATCGCTGGGAACCAGCGAAAAATCCCCACCAAGCCACTCTGCTTTCAAACTTCTAGTTAGAGCCACTTTCAGAGTCGAATTCCAATAGCATTTGACCCCATAAGTCCAGAAGAGGGGTGGTGAAGGATGAATTCTGCAGACAGTTGACTTGCTTGAGCTTCGTATAGGACATCGGCGATAAGCTAGACTAGGATAAACTTGGTGCACGATAAGGATAAAGGAGGGCACGGATTTCGTCCGGAACCCAGCCCTGGGCAGCATTTTGCCCAGAGCTCGGCATCCTGATAACTTTATCGGCCTGAACAGTCTGCCACGATGAGAATCAGCTATAGAAACAGAAGGAAGCTTTTCTCATTCCAAGAGGTTGCAGACTCTATCTCCTTTCCGAATCGGGGGTTTCCAATGCCTATTTGACTAATGGATATCTACTTGAGAGTATTCATCTTTTCATAAAATTTGAGATGAAGATTTTTAAGTTGCCTCACAGCAGGGTATATGGTATTTCTCTATTTGCAATAATACGTTCCCATGCCTACTGTAACTCAATATCTCAATTATTGCTTGATGCACTAATGAGTCAACAAAAACGGAAACCACTGCGGGACTGGTCCACACCCGAGCCAATAAAGTAATAAAGAACTGCCGGCTCATTAATCGTTGGAAACGGGAATCGCAAACGGATGAATGGCCGAGGACGATTAAAATCGTAATCATGCAAATCTCGCCTATGAATCTTTTGCAGTAATCGAGATGTGTGAGCTTCAACAAAATGAGAGCCGCTATTCGGCCACTTTCGTAAGTTGCGACGGGGGAGAGGGCGTAAGGAAAATCGGGCAAAAGACCACAATCGGGAAAATGTTATCGACTTCTGGTTTGCAGGAAAGGACGAATAAGAGATTGCACACGAATATGAGAATCGCTGTATTTTGGGGACGTGATTTTTTTTTGTTTCTGTTTTTTTTTTGTTTCTGTGATAGTGTTTTTGCGAGTTTGTAGGTATTTTATTTGTTTCATTGTTTCGCAAAAATAAGAAATCTCAATCATATTTATCTTGTTGAAGTACAAACAACTCACCTCAAGAAAAACAGCCAAAAACAGTGAAAATTAGGGAGAAAATGGCCAAATTAGGCTGGAAACAGCTGATCGCCGCGGTCGTGACGCGCCGCAGCCGCGTCGCGACCCTTAGCCGCCTAATCAAGTGCCCGGATGACGACTGTAAACTCACGCGGCGATCGCTTTGTCGCGCGGATCTGTCTATTGGCGGACTTATCTACAGAGCTCTGGATTGAATCATTTTGCTGTCCAGCTTTGACCAAATTATGGATCCAATGGCTCTTAATTAATGGATTTTTTCAGAGCAAAATTCGATCGGCTACTCGGCTGTTGGTTCTCATCGTCTGCTCGTATCTTCTCGCCAATGTTCTCAACGTGCTGATCACACTCTGGGAATATGTGGCCTTCCAATCCACACAAACTCAGGAAGCCTATGTGGTGAGTGGCCTTTTGACCCCTTCGAGCATTCTATTAGGTCTCCAGCTAAGTTCGTAGGCCAGCGTACAATAAGTATAGTTTATCGAGAAATCAGCAACCAAAAGCACGTTCTGCGATCACTCATGGGAACCAAAGCTCTTTGGGGTAGGGGCAGTGTGGACAGCATTAAACACTCTTGTGCAATTTTGCATTGGGAAGGTGTAAGGTGGGAGAGGGAGAGGAATGCTGAGGGTAAGGTTACTCAAGTGACTCTGCCAATGTTACTAGTTGTCCTATCTGTCGTCTTACTGTTTTGCGTGCTCTTTCGCTGCTCTTGTCTGGTCTCTCACACGGGAGCATCATCGATTCTTCGCTAGTCATTTGGAATGAGAGGACCTTATTTGAGGCTGTCTCGACGGTTTCATCTGGCTTTTTCTTCACGAGCAAGTCAACTAGCACAAGTCCTTCTGCTTTTCAACCCCGCTAACAAGGAACTTTTCTACGGCTTGTCGCCAGAAATGCCTCTGAAGGCAGCCCTTCAAAAGTTCTGAGAGTATGCATCATTAACTTAACTAAGCGCTGACATTAGGAAAACTTTGATTATTGCACGAATTTTGTAGATATATAAGATGAGGAGTTTAAAAAAGCTTCATTTTCAGATTTATGAGGCCTGTACTGATGTCATTTCCGTATTGTACGTGCTAGTCTGCGCAACTCGGCTATTCGTTTATATTTCTTGTAATAAAGTGAGTCTCCTTCCTGGTTCAAGTTCAAATGATGCCTCTAAATTTTTCGGAATCCGTTCATACAACCCTTTTTTTTCAGGAAATTCGAGACGCCATGCTGGATCAACTTTGTCCAAAGTCGTCACATAGGAAAAAGGCCAAGGACTGTGGAACAACAAAGTCATGGTAAGCCCATCATTGAACTTGATTTCTCGAAACTACTACGAGATTAAAGACGGCGGTAGTGTAGTGGCAAGTAGCTCGCTTTCACGCAAGCAGTTTGAGGATCAGTATCCGTCTTGTTCCTGGCAACCGAGTATTCTGACTTCCTGGGCCAACAGTATTCTGATCTCCGACCCTGACTTGTACATCGTTTGGCCCGTGCAAGTTATTGTACAGCCCACATCACACTCGAAATGCTGCTGCTGAAGAACAACCGCAAGGGCGAACTGGTACAAGTAGACTTACTAGAATACTATTTTGGAATAAGAATAGAAGAAGAATGCATGCAGTATCTCAAAAAAGGATCGAACAACTACGAAGGCTCAAATCATCATTTTTTTGCTCCCCCAAGCCTTTACCTTGGACCCCTGACCTTTACCAAGAGAAAAAGAAGAAGGTAAGAGAGGATCCTGTTCCGAATAGGAACAAAGCTGGTTTGGTCGGGAGAGAGTCTTTTGGATTTCGAACCCCAGAATTGGGTTATAGGAAGCGCGGATTGCCTCCAGTGATTTCCCTCTTCTCCCATACTCCACCACTTTCTTCACTGACGTAGACCGGCTCATAACCACTGCTACAATCGCTCATTAGATCCTTCCCATTACCTGGCTAGCGAAAGATACTAGGTCATTTGTACTGCACAAATCCCGCGCTACTCGGCCGACAAAGTTCACAGCGCTTAATCTATGTACATGTACTGGACTCGATCTCAGGAGGGCAGTTCGCATATTTTAGCCACCCACGTCTCTGTCTTGTACTTACCATGTTTCGAGAGTATGTATAACCCAACTTTCTCATGACCGTAATTAGTGGAATACCACGAATATCACGCTTACAATAGAAACACAAAGTTCGATGACATTTAGCGTGGGATTTCGCTCTGCAAAACAAGCGAGTTTAGAGAACCTTTTGTTTTTGCCGAGCCATGTTTTCATAGAATAGTAGCCTCCACTTTCTTTGATTAAGAGTTCTTGCAAAAAGTGCAAACTTGCAAGTTTGCAGCTTTTTAGCGACTTTTCTACCCGATAGCTCGCTTAAGGCTTTGTACTATAGTACAGTATAAAATATAATGATGACTAGCGGTGAATGAATGGAAGGCAAGGGCAATATAGTTCTTCTGAATCCAGTCAAGAGATAGGCCACGTTTTCTACCTCCATGGCGAATCGTATTGGGACGTTGAATGCGATTCTGGACACAGGATGACTTGCAGATTACCCCATTGATCTATTTATCCTTACCGACAAGGCTGGCAGCACCTAACCTACTCCAGAAAGACGGAGAACTCTGCTGGTCTGGGGAAGAGCCGACAAGAGCTTGACAGTGAACCCCAAACCCGGTATGCGGGTCCATTTGCCACTAAAAACCCTGCCTATTCGGTAAGGAATACAGGATCTTTTATTGCATATCCGACTTACACGATTGCCCTATTTTTGACTGCATTAACGGCCCGCAACAACTCGTACGCTTAAGCTCTTGCCTTGGAAAGCATGCTTCTTATCCACAAACCCCAGTTCACCCATGCAACTCTCATCTTTTTCGAATCTTTGTCCTCAAATACTGGGAACTATCTCGAGCGAGCTACGGCCCATTACTAGGAATTTCGAAGGATGTGTCTCTGATACTCGGGGAGGGGGGGGGGTGGGTGGAGGTGGAAAATAGGAATTCTGAACGAATAAGAATTCAACAGGTATCTTCCTCGAAAGTTTTTACGCTCGAAACACATGCAGTTGCTGCGGGGAACCATCGAGCTTGCCGCTTAGACACGTTTCCAACCTAGAAAGCATTTTTTGGTTTTTTTTTTCTACTGCAGATAATTTGTACTTAGGCCATATTGGTCCTAAGAAGCTTCCCTCTCTTAAATCACCACCTTGCCAGCTTTTAATGATTACGGTTTCTTGCAATTCGGCCCGTCACACAAACAAATCCGTTTCAATTTGAGCCCGGAAATGCCACGCGTCCTTTCCTTCTTAAAGGCACATTCCGCGAAAAAATAAGGCTATGACCTCTCAAATGTGTCGGACGATCCGGAAGGCGATTTTTGAGGCTGCGCTACTTTCAAAATGTGAAAACGGCAAGAACTCCGCTAGAAGCTGACTAATTAGGCCCATGCCGACCCTCACCGGCTGCTAGCTACTAGCTAGTAGCCACTATGTTATCTTTCTCTATAACATTTCGGACTGCTTTTACTGCTGCTTTTCTCCGCTAATCAGATACTTAGCACTTTTTTGTGCCTATTTGAGTTCCGTTTCCCGCAATTTGCGGTCGCGAACTGTGCCTTTAAGCCGAGTGTACCAATTAAGCAACTGCAGAGGGAGGGAAGGGGGCTCATTACAGTTTTCTTGTACACAGGATCCCAAGAATCTCTGTGGAATAAATCTCAAGGCCATCTACCTCTGAGATTCTTCGATTAGAACGTGCCTTGCCACCCAGCTTGATAGTTCTCCGAAGCATTTGCATGTATTTCGAGAGCGAAATTTCCCAGAAAATTGCCAATGAAATGTTCTTTTTATTCGTTCAGAATTCCTAGAGGCAGCAAAGTGAATAATGGGCTCCCCTCTGTGTTGACTTTTGACAACACATACATTTTACTGCATTGCTCCATTGAGACCAACTGCGTATAAAAAACAAGAAAACAGAGGAATTGCTTGAGGAATTCCTAAGTGAGTTCCGTCAAAGAACGCCGCTAGACTGGCAGGAGCCAGCTGCGCTGGGAAACTCTAAGAATTCATATTTAGTCGGAAAACGCGGCAATTCGACGAGTTCTGGGGAGCATTGCCGCACTTTCAAGTTTAGCAAGGGTCCTTTGAGGTATTCACCTTCCATGAGCTCGGAAATACCAAGAACAAATTTCCAAGAAAATATGTTCAATCTGGTTATTAGGAATGAACGAGTTTACTAGTGAGCTTTAGTAATTTTGGGGAGGGGGGGAGGGTAATACATTGAGCGTTCATTTAGAACAGTGGGGATTTATTTAACACAAAATTGACGGACCAGAAGATATATACGTCTATGGTTCCGTTATCTGATCGAACTGCTAAAAGCGCATAGTTAGGGTCTAAGTCCACTTTCGCGCTCAGTCGAACTCGAGTTATTACACCGCGGTAATTCTTACCGGCACAGGTTGAGTCTTGGCCTCTGACTAGAGCATGCTGACTATGAAGGAATGCTCAACGGGGACGGGAGGGGGTGGGGTCGGTATATTATAGGGTAGGGGCCCCGGCTGACGCTCAAACCTCCTCCTCCTTGCTGCGACATGCCTTGCCTCCCACTCTAGATGGTCATTCAGTTCTCAGAGACTACAGCAATCAAAAAGATCTTCCTGTGTGATTCACTACATGCATCAGTTTTTGCCAGAACCCATATACCGTGGCACAGAGTGTTGCTGAAAAGGCCAACGGAGTTGGGTCTGTCAACCTTTCCGTTAAGTAAAAATATTGCAAAATACACGACTCCTTTCGAAACCTTCTTCTCTGGTTTGACTCCCATCCCCAACCTTCCTGCCATCTTCCTCAACATTCCCATTTTTCCTCCACTTTTCTGGAATTTTTTCAAAAATTCTCCAGTTTTTCACAAAGAAACAGCCCTCGAGTGAGAGGTGCGCACAGCATGAAGTGGAACAAACAAGTGAAATCGGCCACCATTTTTCCTGGAAGAATGTGATCCCACTTCTTCCTAGCGACGACGAAATACGCACCCCCGGGGATTCATGGCGTACGACGTGCCCTCTGCCAACGAAATGGTTAGCTGTCCTTGGGGTTGCCCATTACTCTTTGGTGGATCTCTAACTATCCTCTCAGACAGCGGGGGCGGGAAAAAGAAAAAGGCTTATCAGTCCATCGACCGAACCCAACTCCATAGACCAAGTTGACCATCCGTCTCTGTGCCCTTCTCTCAAGCCACTGTAGTCCATCAGGGTACAGCATGGGGATGTGAAATGTCGGTGTGAGTACGCCCCCCCCCCCTTCAAATGGGGTCCGGCAGAAAAAATCAACTATCAAAATGAATTTGTCTTACAAATACGACCCCCCTCCCCAGAGCAAAAGTACGACCCCCCATGGGTTTGACACAACGATGCTGTACCCTGTCGTCCATATCGGGGGACGAAAAATGGTGTTCTGGCGGGGCTGCATTTGGGTAGCAACGCTGTTCCCTTATTCATACACTCCATATCCCAGAAGTGGGGAGGGCGTGGCTGCCTGCGTACATCATTTGGGTATGACCTACGATGAGTTTCTCATTTGATATTTCTTGGGGCAGTTGTAGTCCTATACTCGACAGAAACCACACAGTTGATCCAGACGACACTGCCTTACCAAAGGGCAGCTTACCAAAGGCGCAGCTTCCCACGCGCTTGAACAAAGGACGCAGCCTCTCCCTTCCCATCTCCAAGATATGGATTGCACGTCTCCGCGTCTATTTGTCTAAGCATCGCCGCTGTCGAAACCGCACCTCCTATTGCCCTCAGATATAGACGGTGGACGCGAAAGATTTGCTCTCCTTGCTTCGCTTTTCGATTTTTTATTATTGATTTTTCTGTTGTGATTTGTACGGTGTTTGCGAACCTCACTCTTCATAAAAATGAAAATTTCAGCTTAGCCGGGACCACTCGTCAAATCGGTACCGACGTGGATTCGATAGCGATTGCAATCGCTCGTCGTCTTATTCGTACTGAAGACGTCGCTGACGGGACGGCTGAAGATCGTGCCCAAACCAGTCCACTCCAATCAATCGTCTACGCAAATGAACATACTCGTAACAACGAGATTCTCTAGCTCGTCGCTTAAATGAACGTTCTACTAACCTTTGAGATATTGAAATTTCTAATTTTGCTCAAAGTGCTTCTATTAAGACAAGATTTCAGTTTTCAGTGTCTTCATTTACAAAGTTGTGTGTGAACAACAGCTTGTACCTACAGGTATTGCCAATCGGTACCGTAAAAATAACATGTAACTTGCTTAATTTTTGTATTCAGATATATAACATATATGAAGATCTCAATAAAGTGTTTAAAATGATACTGAAAAACCTCAGTTCCATTGTAGGTAACATCTAATTGATTTAGCATTATACAGCATTTACATTTTGAAAGAATTAGACCCTGGCGTACATGTGGGGCGCGCTTCTTCGCGAAAACGTGAATCCTCTAAGGCAGCGTTCAGACTTCGCAACGGTAGCGCTTCAGTCGCGCGTTCTATCACGCATGCTTTCACTTGCCTCGATGGCCCATGCTTTCGTCGAACAACGCAATGGAAAGCTTGTGCGATCGATCGCGTCAGACGCGCGACCGAAGGGCTAGCATCGCGGAGTCTGAACGCTGCCTAGCCGATAGGCTTTGCTTAGCGCTATTGATCAACTCCCTTGCGACCCGCCATTAAACAACTGACAGGTCTTGAAGACCCCTATTCAACGTGCACCACTGTTGACAGCGTGAAGGGTAAATTGTTGGGCAGCGTTGGATCGCGCGTTCGACGCGAATTGATTGCAGTATTGAAAGCAGTTGATCGCGACCGAACGCGCAGGACCGAAGCGCTGTCGCCCGGCGAAGCTCTGAACGCTGCCTTAGGCTCAAACATTCTTGCGATGCTTGGCAATTAACCCTTTTATTGGAAACCGCGGAGACAGAACATAAGAATGCTGGGGGAAATAATTCACTTTACGTTTCCGCTATCTCATCCATTGAGGCCAGCAAAAGATGATGACTTTTGGGGTCAGCGAAACGTAAAGCTTGTTTGGCTTCGATGGGTTCCAAGCATTGTTGATGTAATCAAGTCGGTCCCTCCTTCCCAAGCAAAGCTCTCTTACATTATAACTGATTTACGCCACGTCGTCATTCGCATAGTTATAGTCATGATCCCTGCAAACGACACGGCGTATGACGCAGCACAGATTCCAGCATAGCTAAGGCGGCCTCATTCCACCAATGATGCCCTCCAGAGCCCAAGGCGTAGCGTCGGGCACAGCCAGGGCAGATTTCCATCAATGTTAGAACATTGATGGAAATCTGCCCTGGCTGTGCCCGACGCTACGCCACCGTCCCTATCGTTCGCAAGGATCAAGACTGTACTGTCTTTGTGAGGTGTGTGCAACAGTTTCAAGTGATCCCGCTTATCACGCGCCCTTGCCATCTAGTGTTCGCGCCCGTAAGAACCAGCTGAACTTTCCGATGTAGGCCAGTCTGCACCAGATTTGTCAGGAGGACATAAACGCTGACTACTTGTACATTGGCTAGATGCCGCACGTCATTGTATGGGCCACTGTGCAGAGGCGTGTGAAAAGCTAGTGCAGGTTGCCTCCGTTATCAAAAAGGATCGAAAGCAAGGAGGAGCCGGAAGCGAAATGTAATCTTCAGAAAAGTATGCCAAACATATATAAAGAACGTCAAAAGATCGACAACGATCAAACAGTTTCAGTATAGGTGGTCGGGTGCTGGTTGACTCATACCGCATGACCAAACTGAAAACTCTTCCTTTTGTTCGGAGGCGAAGTTCTCGATAAACTGCCTAAGACTTTGTAGGTAACCGCACTGTACGTTCACTTAGGCCAGCTCTTTAAAGGCCACTCTCCCCGACCACTCTTCATAGGTTGTTACAGCTCGTAAAATAGGCATTGCCAGCAACACTTGGGGCCCACTTAGCCACGTAGTCCCCACTGCGGACCTAAAGAACACTTTAGACGGACGTTCTTCTGCTGGACGAGTTGTCCGGCTACGCGGCTGACATTCCCCGCACCTAACGACGCGTTTTTCGCGAAAAAACCGGCGGTGGACGAGTTGTCCGCCCTTTCGGACGAGTTTTCCTGCTCGTCGCGCGGCCGTCGCTCGCGGCGGCGTGGGGAGGGGCTACGAGCGGACCTAACGACACACTTGGCGAAAAAACCGGCAAAGAGGGTCCCTTTGGACGAGTTTTCCGGCCGGGCGGACCTAACGACACACCCGGCCGGAGATGCAGCAAAAATGCCGTGAAATGGCTCAAATCGGCGAAGAGCCACTTCGGATGAAAATTATAAGATTATAAGATTGATTATAAGATTGACTTATTGAAGGAGAAGGAAGCACCAAAAAACGCCCGGACCGAAACGAGACGAAACGGAACGAGACGAAACGCTCCGAAAATAAGGCCCTCTTTATTTGCAACTTGAGTTCATGAATCACCGACCAGCGGCGGAATGCGTTTCAAGAGCAATTGTGAATTTCAAAAGGCGACGATACTTTTACAAGTGACGAGAGAAGCCACAGACGGTGAGAGAGTGCAATGGCAGTGACGCAATGACACGGTCACAGGAGGCCGGCATGGGCCTATCGGGCGCCAATGGGCCTAAAACCTGAGCGTCCTGCGCTCTCCTTGTTGTTTTTCAACTTTTAAGCGCAGTATAGCCTCTGCTGTTGCCTGCTTGAGCATCATGTGCGTTTATGAGGTTCTAGCCTTAGTTTATCGCGAACCGTGCCTTAAGAAAGAACAAAAGGCAGCAGATATGTCGAAAAACGCCCTTAAAACTTAGTCCTCTATTGTTCGCGAAACCAGAAGCGACGGGGAATGTGATGCGAGGACCAGACAAGAACAGCGAGAGGAGTATGCCGCAACAAGAAAGACCGGCACGGTGCGACCAGATGGGGCAGACGGGGGCCGAATCACTGGTCCATGCGTTCTTCTGGACTGATTTTCTACTTCTCTTCTCTTACACTCTATCTTGGTCCTGCATCATTTGCTATTAAAGCAAATTTACTTGAAGAACGAACTTACTGACTGGAAACATGAAAAACCCATGTTGCCGAGGAATCAGCTATAGCGGGGCAAGTGGTGTCTTCAATATTCCAGATATTTTTCCCACCCCATTCACTAAGTCATCTCCTAGAGCGCCGTGAGCTCTCAGGAACTTGTCAACCGAGGAGCCTCTCTTTTCTTTCCTTTTTTTTCCTCCTTCCTTCTTTTCCTTCGCTTCCTTCTCTGTTCCCACCTTCTTTACCATCTCCCTCTAACTGCTGGGCTAATAGATGATGCGAAAAAGAATACCCCTGCCGACAATCGCAGTTGAAGAGCACATTCGTTTGAAAGTTGTCCTTGCCGACAAAGTCACTGGCGATCACTACCAAGTTCTGTTAATCTTTTCTATTTCGTTTTTTTTTTCTTTTTTGTTTCTGGGGAGGGGGGGGGGGGGAAAATACCTCCATCTATGATAATACCAAAAATCACTTCCTCTTGGTAAAATAAGTGGAAGGCTATAGTGAAAATGAAAATCCCGAGGTAGGCAATTGGGAAGTGCGAAGTGAATTATTAATTCCCGCATACTTTTGTAAATAAAACATTATGAAAAAACGCGAACGTTGCATGTACATCTAATGGCATGAAAGAGACCGTGAAAGGTTCATCTTCATTTTAGGGACCACCAGCAGAAACAGAGGGGACGGTGAACATGACAAGAGTTTACCTACTGCTGCTTCTTTATTTGGAACTGGCCATCTATAATGGAGAATAGATTGCGTAAACTGTTCTACCTAAGCGCTCAACTTTCCTGCCACTGGCCCCCATGCGTCCACTCGATAATGGAACTCGATCAATTAATGTTAAGTACGCATTTTTCCACCGAGGAGAATAAAAAGTGGTTCGGAAGAGGCATCCCGAACACCACGTCAAGTTCTCTCCAGTTCAGGTATAAGAGCCCGAAGGCTGGCAATTTCTTCCTCACGAAATTTGTTATGATGCGCACTTGCAATCATTTTCTCAGGCTGCTCTAAAGCATGTTCCTGCAGTTCCTGCCTATCCCTAACCGCACGCACATCGCGCACACTCCGCCCACAGCAAGCGGGTCACCCTCTTTTCATCCGCTGGACATTTCCGTTGCCGACCTTAATCCACTTTCCCCGAGCTCTGGAAGGCCCTGGAACCGAAATACATTTTTTCGGAATCGTCCGCCTCGAGGGCATGTTTATGGACAGATCTCAACACATCACGGGCACTGTCAACTCCTTCCATATGTTTCTCTTCTTCATGGACTTTTTTGCGATCTCTACACTCTATGGGAAACCGAGTTACGGGATTTTGTGGGGAGCGCCGCCCATTGTACGCCCCGCCCATTTCAGTTGATGACCGACGTCGATCAGGAAACATCTAAACTTTGGAGTGCTTACTCTGAGAACAACGATTCCGTCAAATCTATACCGCACCTTGTGAACGCAGCCCATGTTGCTCTTCAGGTGGAACCGAACATCTGGACAAACGAACAAACAAACAAAGAGTAAGCATGTATGTAGCAGGGATCTTTATTGCCAATCACAGATGCTTCCAAGGCCCACGGCTCTAGCCAGCCTGCCGTTATTAGCGCCGAAGGCCATAAACACTATTGATGGAGCTATCTTCTCTATGTCAACACAATGCTTGATCATCGTATACCTGTCCTTAATACGCCGTCGGAATAGCGAGTGGAAAAATGAGCCCATTAAAAAGGGTTCTATGACGCCCTTACTTCCTAATGCCATCGAGCGTTGATCAAATAGACTCGGAGCGGAAGGGTGTCACTAGAGGCCTAGCAAAAAATATATCGGGCTTTCTAAAAAAATATTATAAGAATCACTAGCGGAACATTTTGTCTTCGCAAAAAAATTCCACTCTGAAAAAAACCATGAGCTACTCATGAGCCAACACAGTGCTGAAGGGGATCCCAGGCTATCCTATGGCTAAATCCTTCTTTATTCACCATAGATTTCTCCATTGTCCTTAATCGTCCAGTTGTTTAGGGTATTATTCGCTGCATATACCGTTATATTAGTGCAATTATGATTGCTCGCAGCGCCATCTCGCCACTCATTGTTAGGACCCGCGAAAGTGGAACATGCGCCCCTCCAACTACGTTTAGCAGCCAGCTCAGCTTATTGTATATGCTGCATACAAACTGTCCATAATGTAAATAGATTTCGAGATAAGGTCGCATTTACAGATGGCGGCTTAGGCAGCGTCAGACTGCGCGATGACTCGCGTCGACGCGCTGTAACTTGCGAGAACGCACTATAAGGCACTACCATGGCACCAGCTCTCTGAAGCTATGAATGATAACCGACCAGTCTGCATGACTTAGTCAACAGCTACTATCCTAACCCCCCCCCCCCACCCATACTCTCGGATGGCGCCCATCAATCGAGCCTTCGCGGACGGGAATCGATTAATACCGGCCGTCTCCGGCTGCGCTCACGTTTATAGCTTTGGAGCACTGTTGCCATCCAGCGGCGTCATCGCGAAGTCTGAACGCTGCTTTGGATGAGATGACAAAATTGGGAGTAGAGGAAAGTTTATTTGAAGAACCGCGGACTGCAGAATCGGCGTTTCCCACGTGGACCCAAGCGACCAACCCCCATAAAGTCTTTGTCCGTAATTCCAGAATTTCTGCGCACTGCGCATGCCACCCGATTCTGCCGATTTATCATTCTTTCGAATCGATACGTGCTTACTTCTATCCGCAGATTCGCCTTTTTTTCAAGTCCCAAATTTGCTTTAAGCCGCCGAGCGCGTGCGCTGACTGGTGGTGTACGCAGTATGCAGAGCAACCGACAGATCTGACGGCATAATTTGTGGCTGGCCGGTTTCATCTCACGCGCTACCGAGCGATGTCGTCAACGTTGTCCCGCTTTGTTCCAGCATTTAAGCCACCAAGCTCGGATCAGATCAAAAGATTCGTCGACCAAGTGGCCTCCATAGACCGTCTGCTAGTTCTCACTGGTGCCGGAGTCTCAACAGCGTCAGGTAACTTCTGCTTTCAGTTCAAGATCCATTTTTGTCTTCTGGATACTGGACATGGTCCAACTCTCCTTTGTGGGTTTCTGCAGAGCGAATGTCCTTGAAGCGATTTGTTTGTGCTGGGCGTCCCTGCTGTTTTTAAACTGGTTTTCACAAACATTTTCTGTTTGGGAAAGCAAGCCTGATTCCCTCGTTGTGACCCTTGATTATTGTGAGGATAATCTATTAGGTGCTGTTAATCATCTGTTCTAGAAGCGGCCCACCGTCCGGGCTGAACACTTTTTCACTTGTTCACCTCGTGACCAATTTTGTCACGAAGGAACTCACGTTATAGGTTTTATGTGACTGCTGATCGAATGAAATAGGCATCTTTGATGCGATAATCCGTCTGGTTACGATACTTAATTGTAGTTCGCATGCGGTCGAAAGGGCGTGTCAGACGAGAGAAGTTTGGCGCGGTGTCAAAACGTTCTCACAAATTGTTGAAGCGAGGAAGTGACTAATACTGCTATCGAATCCTGAGTGTTTTTTTTGAATTGATTACATTGATCACTTGTTCCACTGTAGTCTGATGATCCTCAAATGCGTCTAAAGTAATTGTTATCCTCAAAGTAATACTCAAAGGTTTCCAGAGCAGATGAAACCCCCTGCTTGAGATCCCTCGTTCGCCTGGGGTCCTGAACGGATGCGTTCGTTCGGGTTAAACCGTCAGCGGGCCCCAGTATTACGACAATCTTGCGTTCTGAAGGTCGATCTTGCAGCTGGCCTCATCAACTGTCGAGGGAAGGACTATATTACAAGTTTTCAATGAAAATCTTCACATAATCCTTTTTTCTCTCTCTCAGGAAGTAGTATGAATAGCGTGTGATCCTTCTGTCTCAGTGTTTAGTTATAATATTAAGTTTCAGCGCTTTTATCCTTAGCAATTTGTGGCACACCTCATGGTGTAAATAAATAAATAAATAAATAACACTTATCATTCATTATCTAGCAACTATTGTTCGCGTGTTTGCATTTGACTGGAAGAGAACGAGCTTGGCGCAGTAGCACACTCATACTGCCTGACACGCCCCTTTTTCCGCAGTGAACTAGAGTATACCTATTTTGCGCAAGGGTTTTCATGAAGCCTTCAGCCTTCAGAGGAGGGTTTTTGCCCAAAATCAGCTTGAGGTATGTAGGTTGCATGACTGGACGAACATTCTAACGCAGGTGAGGGAGGGGGCCATTCGGCAGTGCCTTTGCGTTCTTTTTTAGCGTTGAGGCGCCCCCGTTGTGGTCGCGCTATCCGATCGCTAGTGCACCCCATCACCCATCGTCGCGAAGTATGAACGCATTCTAATCAATTTTCCCTAAAATGCTGTTTTGTTATGATAACTGCTGTTTAACGCCGCAGTACGCGTTCCGAATGTTATCCTAAAATCCTATTCCCTAAAATGTCGAAAAAGATGTTCAAAAAATACTGTATTTGATTTCCTGGTGTGTTGACGATTTTGAGGTTTCTCGTTAAGGCATTCCCGACTACCGTTCGGAGAAGATAGGCCTTTTCGAACGTAGCAACCATCGCCCTATCACCATACAAGAGTTTCTTGGCTCTGAATCCGCTAGGAAACGGTGAGCCTTTGTCATTTTTTAAGTTTCCGGCAAAAGAATGCCTTCCATCATTTCAGATATTGGTCACGCAATTTCTTAGCGTGGCCGAATTTTTCACGTGCAAAGTGTAATGAGGCACATCGTGCGATCGCATCATGGGAAAGATCAGATAAATTTGTGTGGTTGATCACTCAAAATGTCGACGGTCTCCATGCTAAGTGAGTTTCTATTGAGTCAGACAAATTCTGAACAATAATGCCGAAAAATTGTAAGATTGAAACTACGGGGTCAATCTTAACTGGAAAAATCAATCGGCAGCGCCTCTATGTCCCTTTCCACAGTCAAGGCTCAGACGAGAGTATCCTTCAGTGTCTTCACTGACTCAGGTCGTCCGTACTCTACGCCTCAGTCATGGTTAGGGAGGGACATAGAGGTACCACTGACCTAAATTCGTTGGCGCCCGGACGTCTTCAGTCATTGGTGTTGTTGAGGGAAACGAAATCAGGCCTTCTCTTTTCTGCTTGTCTGCGTCTTCTCACCAAGAAATCGTTAGCAAATAGCTTCCGTGCGAGCCAATAAACTGACTTTTTCAGTGACGTACATGAAATAGTTAATGGTTTTTAGCTTCTTGAAAAAGAGTGCGCAGACGAGCAGAAAGTCGACAACACTTTCCAGCTACCTTAGCACTTAACTTTTTTCTTTTTTCAATTAAATTAAGCTTGATTATTATTCTAGTAGTTGAGGCATTCTAGTAGTTGAGGGCTGGATCGAATCTGCTCACAGAGCTGCATGGTTGTGGCCTTCGAGTCAAATGTTTGGGCTGTAAAGACATAACAAGTAGGTAGGTGATGGTCATATTTTCGTAGCGCTTCCGCGACAATGCGTGGTAGCTTTTTTTATTAGCTCTCAATTTCATCTCTCATTTCTAGTGCTAGCTTTTTTCTAGAGAAGATCATCAAACTCGTTTGGAGGAGCTCAATGCTGAATGGATGAGAACTCATGTAGCCGGAGAAATCGCTCCCGATGGTGATGTGGAACTCGAGGAAGGAGCTCATGAGGTTGGTGCTACTTATTTACCAGTTCGCTGTATGAACCATGAGGAAAATAGCGGGGAAAAGATTTTGTGTATTGTATGGGCCTCATGAGAAAAAGCAAATATCTGAAATTAGTAAATTTTCAGACTTTTGTTCTGCCGGAATGTCAAAAATGTGGTGGAGTTCTAAAAACGGATGTTGTGTTCTTTGGAGATAACGTAGCTTCAGAAGATGTGGATACCTGTTATGAGAAGGTTTGTTTTTCTTTCAAGACACGTCCCACGATTGGCGAGACGTGGAAAGCTTCCGAACATTTGGGTACCGCAAAGTTGTACGACTTTAGTCCGACGAAAATGCTAGGTAGCGGCGCCAAATGCCTGATTTGCAAAAATCCGGGTCTGAGCGAGCCTTTATGGCAACGACTTGCATTATGAATTACAGTGCCTTTGTTGCCTGCAGCGTTGTAGGAAGGTTTTCGTTTACTTTTTCGACCTCGCTCGTGTCCAAAAGTGATTCTGTTCTCCCTGATGGTGAGTACCACTTCCGAAATGAGGCATAAACGGCGAAGAGCAATCCAGTTCGCCAAACAGGATCTGTTTTGGTCCTGCTTTATTTGCCAGTGATGTAATTGCACTGGCGCAATAGTCCGCCCGATTGCCGTACTTCTGATTTCGTAAGTTTTTTGAAAAATAGGTCAGGAGCTTCGCTTGTGCTTTGCTTGTGCATTTTTTGGTTTTTTTTTCGTTGTTGGGTAATGTTCAGTAGTGGATGATGCGATCAAACAGTTCGTGAGCTAAGGGATGCACCACATGTCGATTTCTCTGTAAGTCCTGCAAGGAGGCAATGTGACGATGTGTCGGCAAGTCCGCCAAACTCGTCCAGTGCGACTGCGCGACTGCCAGTCGCAACCGGGGTTTTTATATGAGGTGTTCTCGGTATTTTTGCTTTTCTTCTCACGGGAGAGTGGCGAGAACAGGCCCATGTAACAATATACAACATACGATCGCGTAACTTGTACTTATAAGTGACAGATTCATGTCTTCTATCGGCTTCCATAGAAAATTTTGCATGTGTTCCGATTATTTGATACTGCCATGAATTTTTTACAGGTAGAGCAGTGTACAGGCGTGCTGGTGCTTGGCTCATCGTTGACGGTAATGTCAGGATTTCGATTCCCTTACCACGCTAGTCTGATGGGAAAACCGGTGCTCATAGTGAATATAGGCCCAACTCGAGCTGACAGTTTTGCCGAAATGCGAATTAGTGCTCCAGTAACGGATATTGTTACAAAATTGTAAATACTAGCGGTATAGTGGTACTTCGGTTTTCGGTACAGGTTGATTGTCACCACTCCCAGATATGAAAAAGTGTTTTTAGACTAATTGGTAGTGGGTACTCAGCGCTGTGATAGTAAATACGACATTGTTTTCTGGCACCGTATAGGCACCACCAGCTTTCTACCGAATTCGACGTATAGAGCTAAATAAAGGTCCCTGTTATGGATGGGGCATTCTGCTATATAAAACCCCTAAAAAGCTCAAAAAATGCTTGTATTTTGGAGTTGTGACAGTTATGTACCGCCTGTTAATAATCGCAGATTTCTATGTAGTAATAGTTGTAATTACGTACAAGTCCACAGTTGTGGTGAAAGTGAATAGTCTATTCTTTTGTTGTGGTGAATCCTTGTTGTGGCAAATTTGAGCATTATAAGTGCGTTTTATCCGACTCGTGATGTAAATAAAATATCTAGAAGTTGGTCGTTTTGTATGTAGTCCTACAGAAGATAGACATTTTGTGGTGGTAAGCAACACACTGGCGGCCGGAGCGATCATTCGCGAGTGTGTTCAGGGAGGGTATAGTTCAGTACATCCGAGCCGCTTCGAATGAGGCGATACAAGCGCGGTAATGTGTGCAACCCTCGCGGAGAAGACCGACAAGACAATCTTTATTCGTCGCGTCGTCGCGCGCGGCGTATCATGCGCCGGCGCGCGGCGAATTCTTGATATACATCAGTTTGTCTATTTGAGCAGTGGAGCTCATATGAAATGAAGCGGTGGAAAGACTCGATGACTGGTGTTAGCGAACGTCCGCGTTCCATTAACATTCAGATCCAAACCGCCGAGCAAGACGACTACTCTGTCGCGCGCGATGTCGCTCGCCACGCCCACCAGCGCAGCATATTACGATTGTCTTGTCACATACACCATGAGCAGATGGGCACAATCCACTCAACGTTACAGCGGGCGAGTCGGTTCCTTCTCTATCTGTTTGTATGTCTCTCTAGCTATTAGGTGGTCTGATGTGATAGACTATACGGTCTATGGACCACTCGAACTCACTCCCTTTAATTGCTTCGATTTTCTTTTTGTCTGGGCACTCTTGTCTTCCTTTCATTCTATGTTCCCTGCGACCTAACAAATTCCACATTTCTCGCATAAGAGCTACTCTGTCAATTCGCAGTAATGTATCGCGTACCAAACAGGCGCCAAAACGTAAATACGAACCCCCCTCCAACAATGACCAAGTACGACCCCCCCCCTTTACAACGTCCGTGAAGCGAGAAAAATCAACTATCAAAATAAATTTTTCCCAGCCCAAATACGACCCCCCCCCCTCTGGCGGCCAAATACGACCCCCCCTATTGGGGATTCCCCAACAACGATGTGCCCTGGTACCAAAGTCCAGTCGTTCGGCGCACCATCGCAGCGGCATTGCTCGGCACGCGACGCGTGCGCGCCACCGGTGAGTTTTCCTCTCCCCCAGAATTTCGCAACAGGACCATGCACAAAAGTTCGAGTAGTCACGTTTCTCCCTGGAGCGCTGTACCCCTAGCTAGCGCAGTGCATCAAAAACCACTACCTCTGATAGTTGATCAGAAGTGTGTGCCCTCCCTTCCTCCCCTACTCGCGGCAAATTTTTGGAAAACATTGGTGAGGAAGAGTTGTGGAAAGGAGTCGTGGAAATACGAAAGAAAAGCTCGTTAGAAAGTGGTCACTTCTGGCCAGAATTTATCTTACTCAACGTGAGGGTGTGGCCTGCTCTCAAGACCACAGTTCTTCAGTGCGGTCCAGGGGATTCTAATAAATTAAACAAGCGCTTCGAGTTCTTCCCCTGTAATGACGTCCGAATGCGAAGTGGGCAAACAGTATAAGCTCCCGTGCCGCTACTTCTTACTGCTTACCTACAACGTCTAAAAAGTTGACCTTGTAATAGCGTTGTGTACAAACGTGATCGCTGACTCGTCAGGCATGTTCCCTCATAGACGTATATTTAGCCCAAAAAACAACGCTTGGCACGACGCACGTGGCGAGGCATTGTGCAGTGGTTTATGCTGACATCTAGGCGGGGCCACCTGTAGAATGCAACGCATCAATGATAGCGTGTTTATGAAACAGCTGACAACGCGGAACAACGCTCGCTGTTGTTTGATATTCAAAAAACGCTTTTATTTTTTGAAAACATCACCTGATACTTTACTGCCTGTCTACGTCATAAACTTTTTGGGGGGTAATGAAAGTATCTTGTTTCAAAAGTTGCGATCTGTCAACCAACCAAGTTTTCAAGTGTCAGAAACATCAAACATTTGCATACAGTCTTGTTTGCTGTGGATGAAGGGCGTGGCTAGTGAGGCCCGATATGGGGCGCCGCCTGTCCGACTTGCACCAGTTGTTAAAGACAGCTCCCGCGATAAAAGTGTCAAGGATAATTGCTGATCAATTATGAAACAGTAGCTGATAAGTAATTCCTCAATGAAGGAAAAAAGCAACAAGAGCCCTCAAGAACACCACAAACAAAATTGCTCTGCGGTCCGTGTGCAACCCTGCTCACACAAATCGCTTTATCGCATTTCCCGACAGTATTCAGGTGCAAAAAAAGAATACGAAAAACAACAAAAACACGGACGAAAAACACTTAAAGAAAATTTCAAAAACTCGGCGTCCGAATTTGGGGTTACGGTAGCGTGCATCTTTTAGTGCATGTCGAGCTTTTGCACCACGAAAGATTGCATACTTGCGTGGTTTAGGCGTTTTACCTTGCGAGAATGGTGCAGTTGACTGTATTGTGCTCCCAATGAATAAAATGTAATAAAGGAGAGCAGAATTATTTATGGGCACGAGCGCGGTCATCAAAAACTACATGCAATTCCGATAATGCCCGCCGCCCAACAAAGAACAACTGAGCGGCTCTCCGTCAGAGGGCATCTAGCAAGTGGGCGGTCCAACTGGGCGGGCGTTAGAACTAGAACTTTGAGCGGCTGTAGCTCGCTCCTCGCTCACTGTGGAGTCGCGAGAGTGGGACAGTATCTAGCTTGGGGGCTGAACTACCTGCACAAGGAAGGACGACCATGTACTACTTGAGCGCGGGGGCTGTCTTTAAGCGAATATGCGACAAAAACTGGTGGAAAACGGCTGATGCAGAATGATCGGGCTGACACGTCCTTCAACCGCAGCGAGCAATTCGGTGGCCGATCTACACCTATTGCTTGATGGGGAATGAAGGAATTTTCACATTTCCTATGTTTGCTTTGAAATCGTCGATAGTGTTGACATTTTCAGAGGCAAACAATGTGAATGACAGCATTATCATCAGTGAGGATCATTTCAACGTGGGAAGGCTCTGTTCACACCGCGTCAAAGGCAGCTGCAGCAGCATAGTCAGTAGGTCGCCTTCACGACTATTTGCTAGGAAGACGTTTAGTCACGAGCTCGTGAGTGACCTCACGAGCGTCACGTCATTGTGAACCTCGAAGTACATCCTCATTAAGCCAGCGTTCAGACTTCGCGACTGCAGCGCTTCGGTCGCGCGTTCGACGCGATCGATGCGCATGCTTTCAACTGCATCGATCGCGTCGACGCGCGACCGAAGCGCTGCCGTCGCGAAGTCTGAACGCTGCCTAACCTTTTTCGACGCACTGTCTGAGTAGATGATTCGGATCCGGGTTTGCGTGAGTGCAAAATGTCACACGAGTAGCAGAATCTCTATACTTCTGAAATGAGTGAGCAGCTAGTTCACTATAGGTTGGCAGCTCCTCTCTGGGAGGCGACACGCATTCTACTTCCGTTCAGAATCGTAGTGCGATATGCGATGTGCCCACACAATAACTTTCGGGGGAGGGGAGGCAGGTGATGCACAAGTCAGCCTTTTGTATCACAACAGATGGGTCTGCTAAATGTATGGTCCTGGAAAAAGGTTTCCTACTTAGGAGGGAGTCTGAAAGGGAAAACTCCGCGTAGTAAGCGAACCACATCACCCCCTCCAGGGGCTCCGCCGGCCCTTTAAATTGTTGCCAATTGTAGCGCCGACGCAGAACGAGGGAATGGCCTTTCTTGAGGGACATAGTGCCTAGATTTTTGCAACCTCTCTCTTTTTACGCTCGTCCATTCTGTTCTAATGCGACGGCGAATTATAATGGCCTTTGTTACGGTATTTATAAAGTGGAAAAAAGCATATGTTAGTGTACTGTACATTGTGGTGGCCTGATCAGTTTAGAGGTAGTAACTAATAATGTTGAGAATACTCCCGTGAGAAAAACGACTTCAGTCCAACAGGAAAAAACCGACAGCCTATTTTTCAAGCAAGGCTGACTATTTCTCGGGTCACTTCTTGTTTCCGGACGGTTTGCCAACATTGCACCTGGAATGGACCAGAAATATTGAGTCATGCCTTCTTACTATAGAAGGTTCTCCGAATCTGCGAAGATTCGAGGCCCGAATCCTTCACCTTATAGGTATACTTCCCTTTTAGCGGATTTCCTCGAAAAGAGGAAATGAACGGACCCACCAATGATAAGGAAGTCGCTACTCCTGTTTCTCAGATCACAGCATTACTGCTCAATCAGTGACAAGTGGGAGTAAGCGACCGCTCCTGGTTGTCTACCTGGTAGTCAACGACTCCCTAGTGGGTGCACGTGAATATCATCAACAACAGACCGAAGTCCATTCATCGCAGATCGTCGTTATTTGCGACACATTCCTGCACCACCCACAAGACGTCCATTATGTTGCTGATTTTTCTCGTGTCCGCGCTGATTCTTATTGTCGTCCATGGGGGACAGCCGTGACGACAGGCGTTGCAGGGATCGTCAAATTTCTCCGCGTGATCGGTAAAGCTGTCCCGTGGTTGCCAGGTCCTATCCACCTGACTTCTGCGGCATCGTGCGTCATTTATATCCCGAGAGAAGCTGGAAGACTTGTAGATGTTCCGTGATTGTTAAAAGTATCAATGAATCCTCGTCACAAACCAGACATCTGATAATCTTTGAAAGTCAGTACACATACCAGATGGTCTTTGCACAATGCAGTCATGCGTGCAGGACCCTGTTGTTGTAGGCTATATATAAGTAGTGGTGGGGTGACCACACGCAGTCGCCTCAGGCGGCATTGGTAGCACTGTCGCTCGTTCATATTTTTCAGTTTTTTACCCAATTTTTTGTAATATTTATCCAGATTTCCGCTCTTTTTCTATTCACCTTTGAATCAACGCTTTCATGACTCCTCAAATGCCGAGCTCTTATTATATGATACGTTTTCTCCATCTCCGCAAGCACACGAAAAGACCTTCTTGCTGGAATAGGTCAGGACGTTCATGTTGCGGCGACGAACACTGCCTAAATAAGTCGCTTCGCCTCAACATGGATTTGCAGTCTCGCGTCTATCCTCTCATCGGAAAAGAGTCAGGAAAGCTACAATCTCGCTTGGCCAGTTTGTCCTGGTTCCGAAGTACCACTAGGACTATTCCATTTTCACCAAACGGTCGGATCTCTTGTTACGTACAGGCTGACTCCCTTAGTCTTCGGCTCAGGAAGGGCGTTTAGCACTTTTGCTAGTTCCATTTGTCAGTTCATGTGAATAACAGGTTTCATTTTGATGGGACCTGTAAACTAGTGTGAGGCTGCCTGAATGGCGCCTTAGTGGGTTAATTCTACTCAGCGGAATATTCACAGGTTGGCCTGCACAGCATAGCTAGAATTCCAGCGTCGGTGCCCCCACCAAGCCGAACTGCGGCCGATTTTGTGCGGCTGTGTCCCGTTCGCTCCAAGTATGACGTGAATTCGGGAAACAGTCTGACAGCGTCATTCTCTCAATTGCAAGGAAAGATGTGAACGATTCAGGTGATGCATGATTCATGATGCTACAGCAGTACCGTTTGCTTAGTTCGTTAAACGTTTCCTGGACGCTCTCGTGATCTACATTAGATTCCAAGCAGCCCACATTGTTCTCCCAAAGCTGTTATGTTGACTGGGAAAGGGTTTTAGACAATCGTGATTAGGCGCTGTCCCTCAGGAAGACTGGCACAAGTGCCCTACTCCAGGAGGGAAGGAAACCCTACTACAGCTGATCAAATGGGATTTCGATTGATTACCGAATGTCATTTGTACACCCACGACACCCTTGTCATTTACACGATTCCCATCAAATCCTCCTAAATTCCATCATCTGACGGCCCCATCTTCCCAAAAATAATATTTCTCTAGATTTTTTTTTGATGCTTGCTGTACCTTTGGGAAGATCGGGCAGTGCCAACGCTTTTCCAACCACTTTTTGTCTTTCTGCCTGCGAATTGACGTTGGCCAAATAATGGATCACTAAATCGATTGTATACGTACATTTATTGCCCTGAAATTTCTGTCATATGATTCACGGCTGAAATTTTATGATGTGGGGCTATCCGTGGGTCATTTGGGAGGCGATGGTGCGGCGATAAGACAGTTGGCCTTTGCCCCTCCGTAGTTTGTAGACGAGTTGTAGCCACTGCAAGAGCGCTTCTTCTTTTTCTTGACTTTCTGCCTTTTAAATTTGCATCGCTGATAACGGAGGCTCTGCCAGGATGGCTGGCTTTTGAGCCGAAATGAGCCCTTCTAGACTACTCTATGCCCTTCTATACTTCTTTTATGCCCCTCGAAGTCTGGATTTTTGTCCCTGGAAAGGTTTTTAAAGGTGGAACAGTCGTAAGAAATATTGCGAAACTGGTTCAGTACTTGTGTGGTCGTCCTTTCGCCGTCCTTCCGCCGTGGCTGACGTCAGCATTGTACGCAGCATTGAATACACGTCATGCATTACACTTTGTCTACGCTCACCACTGCTGAACATGATGGC